GGTCAGCTCTTTCATCACCAGCACGCGGCCTCTGGAAAATATAAGCGCGAGAGGTCCAAGCCTGGTTTTGCAAGGCCTGGCCCCACCCCGGCCCCTCCCCGGCTCAGAGGAAGAGAGGGGATCGGAGAGCCAGGGGACGAGACGCCGCATTCTCAAACCCTTTCGTGGGAAACAAATAAGTAAGTGAGACCCGAGACGTAATCGTTTTAGTTATAAACACATCTTTTCCTTGCTTTCTGACCCTCGATCATTTCGGGAGTTTGGGGAGTTGACCGGGAGTGCGGTGTCTGCGAACCCTTAGAAGTTCATCACCCTGACCTTCTTGGCTGTGAAATCTTATCACTGGTCACTGGCAAGTGCTTTGGTTTAAAAAAAAAAAAAAAAGAAAGAAAGAAATGAAAACGAAAAATCAATGTTTTTCCCCCCAAACATCCTCATTTTCAAATTCACACTTCGGGCCCATGCACGGGGTTTCCCCAGATCCCATAGATGCCCCAACAAATAGCCCGTTTTCCCTTCCCCTGGACTCTGTGGAATTCACCTGAAGACTTGGGGGTTATTTATGTTCCAGCGAACTTTCGGTCAAGCCACCCAGGACTCTGTATCCACGGGAAAACTGACAGATCCAATCAACTCTCCAAATACAGCTCTGTAAAGTCTTACTCACTCGGATGCCATGAGTTCCGAACTTTGGGGTAATTCAGACAGTCTGGATGGAAGTCTCCCCTTGCAAGGCTCTACCCAAAAAAAAAAAAAAAAAAAGAGGGTTTCTTAACAGATCGATAATGCAAAGCAGACTGCAGCAGCTGAGAGTGAACTGCCTTCGATGTCTCCAGAATAGCCCCCCACTGACAGGCAATCAATGATTAATTACAAATTATCTTTATCAAATAATTAAAATGCATTCCAGGCGATTCACCATCCCTTGGGAATAGCGCAGGATAGAGGCAAACACACGTGAGCGGCTCCCCACCCACCGGGCGTGGGCTCAGATTCCAAACATGCAACTCAAGGAGCTTAAGTGACGGCGCATAAGCTTCTTGGCTTCCCCGAGCTTCATTCTGACATATGGAAAAGCCTGCAGGTGGACATAAGAACTGGAAATCGCTCGGGGAAAGGACTGAAGTCCGCAGGATGTCAACACGCACCGCCTGAGAAAGGGACCTGTGGTGGGGCGAGGCTGGGGTAGGCTCAACACAATTTGTTTATTTATTTGTAGGCCTTTTTCAGAGCCTTTAATACTGTGCTCGACGTGAATTTCCAAAAAAGCATATACAAGGTGTTCCCCAAATATCTTTCGCCAGGGAGACCCTTACTGTTAGGTCACTTCTTGACCTCTGGTCGAACTCCCACTGGACACAGTTTGGCAAATGAAGCCCTAGGATCTGTGGTCTGAGCTATGTCTCCACGAGGGGTGTCGAACGCTTTGGAGGCATTCACACTCCACCCCCAAATCCTCCTGGGACCAAGGCCCATGGCCGAGGGACTCGATTTTAGCTTACGAAGTCAGAGTCTCACAGACTCCCCACAAACCATCCCGGGGACAGAAACCGGTGGGGTTTTTCTCAGCCGTACCTAGAAGCCATTACACCTGGACGCTGGGATCATCCGCGTCGCTGCCTGGAGGCTGCAAAGGGTACAAAAGATTAAAGAAGTGGACTGGGGAGAGCGTGCACGGCAGGGAGGCAAGGAATCTAACTCCTGGCACATAGCGAGGGTGTTAAGTAAAGAGACGCTTATAAAAAAAAATCACTAATGTTGCAAAAAAAAAAAAAAAATGAGAACTCATATAGAACAAATGAGGGACTTACCGGTTTTCCTTCGGGGGCGCTATGGTAGGTAAATATATCCGTTACCATCCTCAAGGGACAAAGGGAAGACATGTACAAGGCTCGTGTGATGGCATTCGAGGGGGGGTTGAAAGAACGTCAACATCGGCCCCTCCCCTGAGAAGACTGAGAGGGAATCAGCCCGACAGGGCTCCGACCCCCAGCCGCACGGCCCATTGTGAGACCCGGGGGACGCTCCAGGCCGGGAGCTGCTGTTCACTCCAGTCTTCGCTCGTTCATGCCGTCGGGCCCCCTGTGCGTTCAGCGCGCGGCGAATGCTGGGCAGAGGGTAGCGACGAGTCCCTGCCCCCCCAGGAGGGTTTACGCGCTGACAGGGGGCGTGGGAGAGGAATGGTCCTCCCCGGATTCCCACCTGCTTCTCCACGTTCCCCGGCCGCCCTTGGAATTAGGTCGGGGTCACGCGGCTTGGTTCTGCTCAGTGGGAAAGTGGGCAGAAGTGGACCAGCCTTTAAAAGAACACCCCCCCCCC